ATATATATATATATATATATATATGTGTTATGGATCTCTCCAAACGAATGCAAGATGCAACCTCGAAGATTTGGTTAAAAGAAAGCCAAGAAGACGAAATCAGGCAGACCCGTTATGGTTTTTTAATCGTCAGACCAATTTCTGGGCTGAAAACTGAATCCCATAGAAAACGAGAGAAAAGGAGAAGGAAAACCCAATAAAAATGACGAAAAGGGAAAAGAAGGGAAGAAGAAGAAGAAGAAGAAGAAGATCTTACCGACAACCAAAAGGAAAACCTAATCGGGGAGTTTGTGGAGAAGAAATCACCGAGGAGAGGCCAGCGGGGGAGGTAAGAAGCAGGAACTGCTTGTATGTACAAACAGATATGTATGCACACACACACAAATATAAATATTTATACAGAAAAAGGAGAGAAATTTAATGGGCGATGATCAATTGATTCCCAAGGGCCATTTTGTGGAAGGAGCACAAGTAGCTTTCCTTGTTCATCTGTTATGTCCTTCAAAACCCCACACCTATAAGAGAAACAAAGACACATCCGCTTTCCTCTTCTTGTCCTAAAAAGATCCCCTTTCTTGTAGTAGTTATGGTAACGGAGAAATTTCTTCCTTTTCTTTAAATAAATATATAAATTTGATTTATTAATATATATATATATATATCTAAGGTATGATAATGGGTGTGGTAATATGTGTCGCGAGACTTTGGACGCTTGAAACCTCATCCTTTGCTTATTTTGGTAAAACCCTTACCTAATACCAAAAAAAGAAAAATGTGATAAATATGGCTTTTGTATTTTTATATATGGCAGCCAAATATGTAAAGATCGAAAGACAGCTTGATGAGGACCATTGCAAGATGTGACTCTATAGGCATATTGCTGACGTGTTCTTCATTTTTTTTCATATTCGTTTAATGTTAAACTTTAAATTTAGATGATAGAAACTAAAATCTAGATTTCATAATAAACTGTTAGATGAATTAATGATACACGGAATTTTAACTTTTCTATTTATTCATTCCCTTAACTTTGTATTTGTTCATCGTTTTCCACAATTATGTTTGTATTTATATATAATTATTTGATTAAAAAAATGTTAATAATGTGCAAGCCCAATAAATGAATAAGTACTTCACATGGATCTGTTTGAAAAAACAAATGAAAAAAATACTTCAGCGCCCAAGGAATCTTGTCTTATTAGCATCATCAGAACATTTTTTTCTATTGTGTAAAACGGTTTGAAAAATCTTATAGAATAATTTAAAAACAACCACAAAAACTAAATGTTATAAAAATAAAATAAATGATCTTCGACGTGAGGACAAATGATTCCTCTGTGGCTGTTCGCAAGTAATTATTGTTTACAAAAATATCTATCGATTGTAGAAAACAAAAGAGAGAGAGAAGGGGACAGTATTTTTCCTCTTTAAAAAACTAAATTTAATTATTGAAGTAATATATATATATATGTATATGTATATATATTGAACGATTTATATAATGAAGTGACTAAAGGCTAAATAATCTAGATTTGAGAAAATAGCCCAAAATCATGAAACTATGATTATACTGTTACTTGCACCCATAATTAGGGGCGGACGTTTCGAGAAATGGTTCGGGTTCAGGACGGAATAAATCGGTTCGGTTCTTTCGGTTTTACAAAAATAGGTACCAATCGGGTTTTTTATTGTATTCGGTTCGGTTCGGTTTCGGTATCGGTTCGGTTCCGGATTTTATTAAAAAATGATAGATTTTCTTTAAAAATATTCGGTTTTTCGGAATTTTTAAAATTCGTTCGGTTCCGGAAAAATTCGATTCTCTAAAAATGGTATCGTTCGGGAAATAACAGCAGTTTCGGATCGGAATAAATGCCATTTTGACGGTTCGGTTCGGTCCGGTTCCAAAGAACCGAATCGAAACGCCCAGTCCTACCCATAATCGATTAATCGTTGTGAAAAAAAAAATGGACGGGTCACGGATAAGAATAGTGGGGGAAAGAGAAAAGAAAGGGGAGAAACAATGTTAGCAATACATCAACATCGTCCGTACAGTCTCGTACAGAATCCAACCAATCAGAGATGGAAAACACATCAGTTCTGCTTTTTTGTCCTCCAATAGGAAAAAACCCGGACACCGTCAATAAATAAATTAATAAAATATTGGTCTGCTGGGTCCCACGCAATTGTTCCGATTGGGTTTCCTTTTAGGTTATCTATTTTTTAATTTTCTCTATTTTAAAAATATAAGTTCGTAATTTACTTTTATGGAATTACTTTCCCAAATGTGCCCCCATAAAAAAGGACGCATCCATCTGTTATAACTGAAACCCCTTTGTCTGACCACATTCGCCTCCTCTTTTTTCCATTTTCCTAAAAGTTATTATTATTATTATAAAAAATTCCCAAAAAATATATAAAATTTTCAATTTTCACACAATAAAATCTAAACTTTATTTTTTATTAAATAAAATTCCAACTTCATTTTTCAATAAAAAATAAATTCGAAATTTATAATCTTTATCATTTTTAAATCTATTAATGTTATGATATCGTGATATATAGATGATGATGTGTCAAAATATTGATTTACCAGGTAGAATATCGACACGACATATCATCAATATATTTAAAAATGATAAAAATTATAAAATTTGGATTTATTTTTAACTAAAAAATGAATTTAAAGTTTTATTTGATAAAAAAGGTTTAGGTTTTATTTTATGAAAATTGAAAAGTTTAAGCATTTTTTTTTGAGATTTTTCTTGTTATTATTATCTGAATTTATTTGAAATAACATGATGTCGGACCCAACAACCAAATTGGTTTAATTTAGGCAGTATAGATGGCGTTTTTTGATTCTTATAACAATGTGTTAAGATAAAAAAAATAGTTGGGTTTATGTTGACATTAATATATAAATTGCAATAAAATAACTAAAAGCCTTTTTACCATGTATACATAAACCAAATCCATTAAGCGAAAACCTTACAAATCCCTTCTTTATGAGCTTATGTAATTTGATTTTCCTTATTTCCTTACTGGCGATGTTATACTTTTCAACTTAAGCAAGTTGGTACTATTACCCTCGGACCGCAATCTTCACGTGTTTTAGGCGTATTTGTACGTCACATCCTCAACAATTGTCCGAAACCAAAACAACAACAACAACAATATTTCGGTTAAAGGGGAGGAATACGGCTAAATGATTTTAAAAAACACTTGTAACAAAATTCTTACATGGAAAAATAACTGCGAGATATGGTATGATATCAAGTTTTCGTTACTCTACATATCAGTCAGAAATGTAAATTTATTATCAATAAAATTTATGGAAAAAAGTCTTTTTAGATATTAATATTGTCATTGTGATATGGTACAAAACAGTTACTTGGTATAGCTTTTAGTATGACATGAAGATAATGAATTGAATATTAAACGTTTTTTGTTAACACAAAACCCAACGACTTTAAATTTGAGATTGCGTTTTTTTAGAAGAAACCAGGGCAGTGTTTTAAATATTAAAAACGATTAATATAAAATAAAATGAAATTCTGGGAGAGCTGAAGTGCCGACACATGTCAGTTGGTTCCACACGGTGAGATCAAGGTAATGGTGTAAATGTTGTCGTAAGCAGGGGACCACAACAGCGCGTGGCCTGCACCTCCACGACCACGAGAGCCCGAAGCCTTCATCCAACGGCCACTCTTTATTTGATCTCTCGATTTGATCTAATCATCAATTGCTTACATAAATATGGTACATTCATTCATTATATACATATATATATATATATATATATATAACCATATGGCATCATTTATGGTAAGTATTTTAAACGTGTTAATGGTCTAAAAGCAGTTACAAGCGGGGCCATTTTGGGTAAGCTCGACTAGGGCCCCTAACTTAGGGAGGCCCATCAGCATTATCATAATAGTTGAGAATGATTTGATGGATAAAAATGTTGTAGAGTATTATAATTGTGAACTGATTTTTCTTCTTGGCAATATAGTGGACTTACTATACAAATATGTAAACTCACGAAGAAAGATGAAGTCGAATAAAAGTACTTCAAAAATTATTAAAAATAAAATCTTGTTGGGTTAAATTTGAAAATTTAAAACTATTTTAATTGTAAAAAGTTTTTGTTATAAGAGTGTGCGAAAAATTAAAAATCAAAATATATTATTATGTACGACATTTTTCTATTCATTTTTATTAAAAAAAATTGTTTGATCACTTATGATTGAGAAATCTTCCACACCATGATAATTTTTTATAAATATACATCTTTAATTATTATACTCTTCTAATTTCTTTATACTTGTTGTCTTCTCTAGCACACAAACTATAATTCTTTAATAAAATAATTATTTATTTATTTTACTTGATAAATTTAAATTTCAAAATCATTTGAGCTATTTTTTTTTATTACAGTACTAAAAAATATTTAAGACTAGTTTCAGCTTTCAAGATGTCGTAGACAATCTAACGCAAAAAAAAAAATAATAAATTGTAGCCGTTGGGAATATTCGCTTAAACTTTATACATACAGAAAATTAGCGTGGGCTCTAAACGAGATTTTCTCAAAGAAATAGTAAAACAACATATTACCGGAAATCTAAAAACAAAGTCGAAGGTTCATTGTATGCGAACAATAATGTCTCCTTAAGACCTAAAGTTCACCATATAACAATGATACATTTTTAACAGACACAGACCAAAAACCCATGACCCATCACCCACTAAAATTTGAAACAAGACATCTCCAACGCCAAAATGACGATGGCATAATAAACAGTATCATGCTCAGAAGAGCGAAATTTGAGGAAACATCACACCATTTTCCGGGGTGGAAAACGGCAGGCAGTTATAGTCAGACTCACGGGAACAACCCACATTTGGTTCTGCGAGTCTATGAAGAAGGCCAAAAACTAAGGAACCCCTTACCGGACATTCTTCGCGATCTGATTTTTTTTTTCTTTCCAAAACACGGTAGGAAGACAAAGACAAAAACCTGTAACCAGCCACGCGATCACATTGTCCTAGACAGCTTCAGACAAGTGATTTTGCAGCAGAGGAGGGGCGAAAATGGCAATGAGAAGAGGGTTTCTTCTTAAGCAGGAGAAGAAGTCATTAATGCTGATTCTACGATCCTTGTCATCGTCAAGCAAATGGAACAGCTCATGAACCTGAACTTGAGAGAACTCAACAGTTAGTAGCAATGGTGATTTTACAAAGCCCAGAATTTGATGTATTGAATCGGGTTCTCTCATTACCTCGTCCTTGTTCAAGTTTGGAATTGCATGTCTGAGAGCATCTCCAAGCTGGGAAAGAGGGGAGATAGAGTGAATGAGTCCTCTGGATTAGGAAAGAGAAATGGGAAACAAATGCCTTCATGATTTAAAAAAATAAAAGATCCAAAGATTAGAATTACTACTTCTTGCTCTGAAAAATAGCCAACTCCTTTGGCATCACATTGGGAAAAGGCTAGTTCACATGCTTTCTGAAACAGCGGCTGCTTCAAAATATGAGCCGAGGCAAACAAGTACTACAACACAAAACAGCAGAGGCAAGATTGGTCATGAACATAGGAGGATATATTGCAAATGGGTTCTGTCATAGACAGAAGGTGATTGAATCCCCTACAAGTTCTTGCTTTTACCATGGATTAAATAATCTTGCATGTGAGCATTTATTTGCAAAGAACAACCGTACCTGTTTGAATGTGATTGACCCAGTTTTCTCCACGTCAATGAACCGGAATATCTAGAGCAATATGCTATAGCATAAGTTTCATTGAACAGGCAGATGGTGCAACATGAATAGTATCGGTGCACATAGGTAGCAAAGATCAACTGTTCTTTACATTAACTGACCTCTTCAGAGAGAGTACAGGCCTTGAGTCTCAGAACCCTAAGAAAGTCATGTAGCATAACACATCCACTGCAAAATGGATACAGATTTCTTCAGGGTATGGAGAAACCTGAAGTTCCATGTATTGTCCACACAACAAAGTAGAACCCATTTGACGTTTCTAGTTACTTATAATATATAATTATCAATACCTTGAGTCTGGATTCATGGAGGCAAATGTATCCAAAAACTGCACTGCCTCCATGTTGCTTACATGGAATAGCTGGAAGAAAAGAAGACAAACAACAAAATCACTAGCTCGAGATGGAATGAATAATAGAGAGGAAAATAGAACATTTGCATATTAAGGATAACATCAAAGTACAGCGGTTCCTCTTTGGTTCTAGAAGGTTTAAGGGGTTGGCATTGAGACACGGATAATGGATATCGTACACTAAGGGTAAAAGTGAAGTATCGAATACAGGAAGTTGGACTATAAACTTACGGATTCAACTCTTGCCATTTCAACCATGTAATTTGAGGGGTTTTCCTGCGAAGAAGAAGAATATAGAAATATCAGCCGGAACTGAAAACAGAGGAACTCCACCTGTTAGTTGTATTATATTCTTCGTTGACTCCTTATGTTCTGAGAAATTTAGCCAAAAGGATCCAAGATCCAAAAGTACAGTCTAAATAGTCTTTAAGCTTACCTCATGGCAGGACAGCATATTCAAACATTTTTCATCTAGTTTTGCTGAATGCGTTTCTACAGAACTTACGTGAGAAGAGGTAGGCAAAGCTAATCGAAAGATCAAAACCATTCAGGAGATGCACATACCAGTTTCAACTCCGATGCTCTAGTGAGAATCATTAAATCCCCATAGGAGTGAGATGTTTGGACAACATTTAGAGCAGTTGAGAGAGCATGACTAGTCTGCATCCATATGTGCATAAAATAAGGACAGTGATTGACCATTCAAGAAACACTAGGTGAAGAAAACTAATCTTCTTGCTACTGTTCTTCATAATGCTGCTTTCATAGCAGCAAGAATGTACCTTTTCGGCGAGACGGACAGCGTTCTGTTTCTGATTGTCATTGGGGAAGACAACTGGAAGGTACTCAATCTGTTCAGTTTTGGATAAATTTATCCCAATAAGTGAAAATTCTAAACACAAACAAAAGCGAATGATAACAAAACTTGGCAACACAGTTGAGATGCATACCTCCATGAAATTGTGAAATTGTGTGAACATTCTAAACATGAGTTTTGACAAAGAAATGTTTCCCCTGCAAATAAGGATAAACACCAGCAAAAGAAATGGAGAAATGTTCAGTGTTTTAAAACAACATGCAGAGACAGGAAAAAAGAAGAAGAAAGAGTCTCACCAAGATTGATCGAAATGTACATGTGGGTAGCGGACAACTACAGGTTGAATTGGGTAACCAGGAATGAAAGCACCGAGTTGGAAGGAAATGAGGAATTTCCCGTTAGTCGTGGTGCCCTCCGGGAACAACAGCAGACGAGGAAATTTATCGCATGAGGCCTTTCTCTGTATTCAGATCCTTGAAAATACATTCCGTATCAAATAGCTTATAACTTGATACAAACCATTCAAATCTTTTTCAGTAGCAAAAGATATCACAGATCACACAAAAAAACAGTATTGATGCCTAGAAGAACATGCCACTGCAACTCTGTACCTTTATTTCATGGACAGCATTCTTCCTTGACGTCTGTGAGAATCTATTAACATATATCACCTAGAAATGTTCAAAAACACTGGGAAAGTCACACCCTTGAACTGAGCCGCATCACCTTAAGCAGATTTGGAAATTTTATAGGATGAAATAGCCACTTACCTGCATTGCCCTGATAATAGTCCCAACAAATGGGATGGAATCGTGAGCCTCTGATGCAACAATCGTTGGGAATAACTCGTAGAAGTAGAATATTGGGTCAATGTAGGAAACATGGTTGGACACGACGATGGGGGCAATCTCTCTAGGAGCAGGTTTTCCTTTCCGTTTTATCCATTGATAACTGCAGGAAGGCATACAGATTATAAATATGGAAATACAACCCCTCATATCCCTTCATGAAAAAACCCAGACATAACATCATCCTGGGACAACCTATTTCAAGCCATGAAGACCAGACATGTATCTTTAGAAAGAAGCATCTAAAAATTCTCAGCACCAAGGAGTTAATCAACGAAGGAGGAACACTCAATTAAGATCTTCTGCGACCGACGATAAGAATTATCTCATATTTGCAGCTCAAACAATCAATTGGCCACTACGTCCCGATACTAGGAATCAGAACCCAGGCCGATACTCGTAATCTAACTACGAAAGAACAGAAGATAGAGGATGAACAAAAGAAATCAGGGAAAACGAGATTTACCCAAAAGAGAAGAGGATACACCTCGTGCAAATCCGAGTGACCCACATGATCCTACATCTCCATTTGGGCATAGGGTTCTGCTTATCTTTCCATCCCTCAAGTGCCAAGCGAGTAGCAACATAACCCACAGCCAAACTAAGACCAAACAGGACCAATCTAACCAAGGCGATCGGCAGACACACGACGACTTTAAGGGCTTCGTACAACCCACTGACTCCCGGCGTTTCATTTCGGAACGGATCCACCGTGGGCAAACCGAGAACGGACAGCTCCGAAGCTCCGAGAAAGTCATAGGGGTTACGAGAATTGTGATTGTCCGAAACAGAGAAAGCGCGATGGTTCTGATTCTGACCATGGGGCTCTGCACAGGCGGGATGATCGGAGCCGGAGTCGTAGTCACCATCGTTGACGGTGATAACGAGCTCTGGTGGATCAGATGATGGGGAGTGGATGAGGGGAGACTCCAAATCAGGATCTGCCATTTCCGGTGGATATCAGACGCGAGAGAGAGAGAGGCGAGCTGTTAAAGAAGACAATAAACAGGCTAGTGGCGGAATGCCATTTGTTTATGTCCCCATAAAAATTAACCTTTTCCTTTGCCTTTCATTTTGCTTATTAGCGTGTTTTTTGTAATAATTTTTTTAGAACTAGAAATCTGTTAGCCCCCTTTTTTAACCAAAGAGTCACAGAGTGTTTTTTGTTTTGTTTTTCAATTGAAATCCCCAAAATATTGGTTTTAAACTATAGTTTCATTAAATAAAAATTCAAAAAATATTTATGTTAATAAAATATAACCGTCCGTATGGTGTGAAGGCGGAAACTTTTGACCATCTGGATTGCAAGATTGGTCTAAATATAATTTCTTATTATTCCCAAGAGGGAAGGAATCAAAGGCGAAGGAAAATAATTGATACTAAAACGATACGGTTGATATGCCGATTGATTATCAAAAGAGCACTTTGCTACGTTGTATCACGTAGATAGATACACTGATTTAGACATGTCTCGTCCTTCATAATGTTTATACACGTACCCCACTTGTCTTGGATCTTGGATATGAAAACCACAATCCATCAATTTTTTATATATAGATATAATTAAAGAAAACATTATCCGCATATTAGTGTAATAAAGTACGATAGATTATTAATTGCACATGGATCGCATTATATGATTTCAGTATTATTAACTTTAGATCATCTGGTTAGTTTCCACCTCTGGAATTAGTTAGTTTGGACTTTAATTCAAGATAACAAAAAAAATTGAGGTTTGTTATCCTAGTAGTATACGTGTACGTATACATACGCGTGTGCTATTGTGGACGTGCTGCAAAGTGTGGGCCCATTTCGAGGGCCGGGGGAATCTGTTCGGGCCTGTGAAACTTAAACGATGGGCCTGTTATATTTAAAGCCTACATTGCTAACTTCATGGCAACGATTTTTATTTTGTGGAATGCGAATTTATAATGTTTGCAATAGGTCCAATACAACGAAGTTGATATTTCACACACACACACACACATATATATATATATATATATATATATACACACATGTATGTTTATATTTAATTTTTGAAGTTGAGGTAAACACAATTTTTACGGGGATTGCAGGAAGTAAAAGTTGGGTTGGTCCACCAAATTGGAAGAGGAGAGAGAAGAATCTACACGGAGAGGGTCCGTGGACTGTACCGGTGCCGGTGGACCCTTCCCCCCCATCCACCAAGTTGGTTGGGTTGGGCCTCCACTTCTCCTTTCCCCGTATTTATTCCGTACAGCAGTAAAAACATGTAAATACCTATACTACTACTACTACTACAGAAAATGCATATATATTGGTGATATAGTTAGCTAGGTCGTTGGAGCTATATCTTCTAAAGAAAACATATAAATAAATAAAATGGCTCGATATGCCAAAATGAATATGAGATACCAAAAGGGCTTTCAAATAAATTAATTCCGACATATATTCTATTGTGATATGAGTTAACCGACTAAATTTATAGATACGGAAAGGACTTCCACGATAGATTAGTTGATATTTATGACAAGGACGGGGGAGACCCACGCTGCTTTTACATTCCATTGGTGGCCACCAGCTTGCTCGTTACCAAGTGGGGTTCAGGCCCCACCACCCCCAAAAAACAAATTTCACTTTAAATATATATCGCACACGACCCAAAAACGAAATATAAGCAATCTTTACAGAACATATATTTTTTTTATAAAAAAAAAACTTTCAATAAGTGAAAAAAGGGGGTTTTCGTTTTTCTACACATTTGGAGCATTGCAATTCGACATTAAAGAAGGAGATTAGGTGTGGTGATGATTTTGTGGGGTGGGTCTTGATTTCTTTCGCTGTCAGGCAATAGGCCCTACATTAGAAAAAGCACGGCCTTGAAGACGGACAAAATGTGAGCCCCACCACCGACACGTTTCGAATTATCCAGCTGTTTGGATGAATAGGCCCACCGTTTCACGGCCGGACCACGGAACTTAAACAGTCCAGTGGGGACCACCCGGAGCTCGCCCCCTTGGAACCAATGCGTACGGTCGGTCGACCCCACCTGCCACTCACGAGACCCTATAATACATCATTATTTATATGTATGGTACTGACCCCTCCTTATCTCTCTCTCCTCTCCACTTTTTTTGTTTGGTTCGTGTTGACCCACCATCGTGTGGACCCCGCATCTGCCTAATCCCAGGCCCACTAACACGTGCGTGCCTTTTCTCTCGCTTCGTCACGTGCCCACGTGCTTTCTCCCCGGTCCATCGCCCTTAACCGGATGAGAGAAGTACCCGACCCGTTCGATTCAGCTTCTGCCAGCGGTGGACTCAACCTGTGACGAGACGCTGTCGTTTCGACGCAGCTTCTTCAGTGTTTCGATGACCTAGCCATGAGCTGGAGCTCTTGTTTGTCGTAAATCTCAAGGGAGAAGTCTCTCAGCATGTGTGTTCTAGTAGACGATCCACTGGCAGTACTTCCCGTGGTTATGCCGGAGCTCGAGCTCGAGCTCGATGCCATAACCGACGTCGTTCTCGAGGGTTTTGAAGCGGCGACGGTTGAAACCGACAGCATACTGCTGCTCTGAACAGCTTGGAGAGGAGCAGCCATGGCGGCTGCCTGTTGCATGGCCCCGACGAAAGACGACGTCATGGGTCTCGCCGAAATGTTGATCAACGGCGTCGCAGTCGCCGGAAAAGCTAGAACCTGCGGCTGGTTCGACGGTCCCGCAGCGTTCGCGACGTGAGGAACCAAGAAGACGGCGTTCGATGGTATGCACCCCCTGCGGCAGAACTTGTAGAGCTGCAGGCGCCACAGGTACCGGGGACGCCGCCGACGGAAGCGGAGGGTGCTGTGTCGTCGTGATCGGCGCCAAGCCGGAGGGAACTGAGACGGCGTCGTTTATGTCTATGTACTCGCTGTTCGAGGGCCGTTTGCGTCTCTTCTTCGCAGGGTTTTCACCAGGTTCAGGGTTCGCGTTTGTGGTGGTCGGGATTTTCAGTGCCCCGTTCACCGACATGGCGATGGCGGGAACAGTTCCTGTCCCCGTGGCGGCTATTATCGCCGGCTCGGCGTGCTCCAGCAACCACCGGATGGTCTCGCCATCGGATTTGTGACCCAGCTCGCGAGTCAGCTGGAAAATCCTCGCCGCACACGTGGCAGGCATCCGTATCCTCCTCCCTCGTCCCTCCACTTTTGTGTGACGGTCCTTCGTGGACGCTCTCTTAGGCGGCGGAGCCATAGACGTCGACGGCACCTGCACTGTCGACGACGGCGGAGGCTTCACGCTCCCGACCTGGTCGGGCTCCTCCTTAGGCGTGAGGCGCGTGAGGTCCACGACGCGTGTCTTGCTAGTCTCCGAGGTTCCTACGCCGTTGATGCTGAGATCAACGGTGCTCATATCGTCGTCTTCTCCAATCTCAAGCTTTTGAGTTGTCGTCATTGGAAAAACCCTAACAGGAAAAAAAAATTGAAACAGAAGGCGGTGATTAAGACGAAATCGCTTAACAGCCGAGTGTGTGATTAAATGTGACCGTCCCTATATATAGCGAAATTGGGATAATATCGTCGTCGTAGCGTTTGGGATTGGAGAGAGCGACGCGTTTGATGCTCTGCAAAATCTACGGCTCATATGTTTCGGATTATATTTGAAGACCCACTGGGATGCTGACACGTGGACGAATCCCGTTCGATTGGTCCATGGGACTATCTGTTTGATGGGCTCCAGTCTCTTTCCTTTGTTTGTTTATATCTTCCCATTCAATCACCCCCCACACCTTTTATTAATGCGTTTTATTTTATTTTTAAAAAATCATCGTGTTGAAAAGATTACTTAATTTTCAAGAATCTCCATCTACATTTTATGTTTTCGTAAATCTTAGTTAGATGCTCAGGCTTGAAAGTTTGGATTCCCACATCGGTAATTGCATAAACATTAAATTTGATAAAAGTTTAACATCGCCAATAATACAAAATATTTGTATGAGAGAAAGAGATAAAAAAGGGAGGAGTAGCCCATACGTGCTGGACCCCATTTGTGTAGATCGTCACAAGGCTATTGTGTCTGGAATAATCCCTTGGTGGATTCTTTTTCCAATCCCATTCTTTTATGCGCCAATCTATACATACATACGGGTCGTACGTATACGTACACACGCACACTGTATTTCTGTATATACCGAATGTGCGGTAAAATTATTTTGAAACCGGAACTGGTAATAAATTGCGAAGGAGAAAGTTGGAGAGGGGGGCCCACCACCAGGAAGGCATGAGCCCGTGTTGTTCCCCCACTGGGCCCCGGCCCCAGTGCTGGTCATTCACCACATATCGTCCATAAAGAAATTTTAGAAAAAAAAAAGTAACAAAATTTAAACGAAGAAAAAGGACGCTTCATGGACTTAGGCCTTGGCTAGGGCTCATATGTGGGCCCACCATTTCCAGCACAAAATGCGTTGTGGGGCCTATTAGAAACAATTAGTGTAGACGGACCCAACCCAACCCGATCCGATATGACCTCCCCGGCCACGTGTGTGTCCAATGGTGACAGACAGAGTGAGAAGGGGGACCACCCAGAGGGGCAGATTGTGTAATTTTGGGGGACGGTTGACGAGTAACGCTTCGACACGTCACTATCGCTTTGTTTAGATTTTAATTTTAATTTACAGGGAGAGAAAAATGTGGGGGCTGGCTGAGGTGGGGGTTATCGGTCATGCCATGGTATGGGGGGTCTCCATTTTTTTAATATTTTTTTAATTGAATTCATTTAAAAAAAAGAGCCTGAAAAAAGCTGTGCCCCAATTACATTTGGCATTACTTCTTCTACACTTTCTTACAACATCACATAAATTTTGCTGATGATGAGAAGATTGTCGGAGCATTAGTAAATCATGGATCACGACCGTTAACGCCCAACCTACTGTAGAGGAGAAATTTCAGAGATTGAGGAGAAGTTTCATGTGCCGTTCTGGCCGTTGATCTGTAAATGGGCTAAAACCAACGGCTGGGATTGGTTTTTCCATTAACAATGCGACGTCGCATTCATGACGCAGGTTAATGACGTGGCGAAAATTATATTGGGCCTGCCCTAGCTTAGCTTAGGCCCAACGCATTAACCCATAAAGCAGAGTAGACAAAACGGCGTCGTTGAGGTCAAGTTGGAGCGCTGATCGATGATGCCGATTCTTCTTCGTAATCACGAAGCTATTTCGAATACAGGAAAAAGGAAACCGAAAACCCTAGAAGAGGCGTAGGGGTTTTGCTCTTCGATTCCTTTGATATCTTCAAAGATGCAATTAACTCTTGAATTCGGGTTCGTATGTTCCTCTTGTTTCAAAGTTTCTCTTCCCTATTTGTCAATTTTCGAATTGGTCAATGATTTTATGATTGTTTGTTTGGTCGGAAAGTTCAGGAAAAACTGGGTAGTTGCGCTAAGGTCATGGATTCATGGTTTTTTAATCTGGTTCATTCTATTTTCTTGCGTATCCTTGCTTGTTTTTCTTCTTTGGAAAAGTAGTTTTATTTTGTGACGTCGCTCGGATTATGGTTATGATCCTAGAACTGAAACATGAGCTTAAGCTTTATTTTCTCGGGTGTAGACGATTATAAAGGGACAATCCTTTTCTATTTAGCATCGAATTGAAGAATGTTGGGACTGAGTGTGTTTTTTATTCTCTGATTGGATCTATGAGCAGTGGAGGCTTGGAGCTGCTATGTGACTCAGTAAAGATCCATAAAGTGAACGTCGACTTCCCCGATGGGGCAGACAATGTAAAGCCTTCTCTTTTAAAGATGTTGTGTCTGGAGTTTCCCCGTACTGAAATGTATTCGCTATGGCTCACGTTTTCCCCCTCACTTCTGTTTTCTGAATTAGTTGACTATGAAGCATTTGCTTTCTTGGGTGCGTTCCAATTTGATTAAGGAGAGGCCTGAAATGTTCATGAAAGGGGATTCTGTGTAAGTGGGTTTTCTTTCTCGTCTGAATCAAGCCGCGAATTTCTTTATTTGGTTCTTGATCGTCGAAGATAAATATTTAAGGGGGAGTTTACAATTGTGCGCAGGAGACCGGGAGTTCTAGTGCTGGTGAATGACTGCGACTGGGAGCTCAGCGGCCAGCTTGATACGGTCTTAGAAGAAAAGGATGTCGTGGTTTTCATTTCAACCCTTCACGGTGGCTGATAACTGCAGGACTGGCCGGGTCTGGTCTGGTCTGGGCATTGTGGTGCCTTGTACTATCCCTGATGCGTATTTGCTAAATACCCGAAAATCTTCTGTTCTTTTACTATTGTGAATTGTGAATGAGTGAGTCGCTTTGCTTTTGTTACTTCTGATTTCTTGAGGAATTCAGCAATAGCAGAATGTAATGTATTTAAAGATCTTATGATCTTGAACCTTCTTACCTAAATATTAGAAATCCCTCATGCGTTCATTGTGACTAATTTCAAAATGAGGAAATGCCAAAGATAGAATTGTTGCATGAAAAATTAAAAAGAGGTTTGATGAGAATGTCATCTGATCTCATGCGACCAGAACCTAAATCTAGGCTGAGTCGGCCGGCCATCTCATCTTCGTGGCGGTGACTTTGTCTAAACGTATGTTTAAAATTATAAGCTTCTGATTCGTGAAGAGGGTTCGAAGCGAAGGGGACTCGCGATGGCCTGTTTTATATGAGGCGCTGGGTAGAATTAGGGTTTCAAAGAGCATTGTCGGCTGCTAGGGTTCTCTGGAGCTTGGCGCCTGCAGTGTTTTCAGAAGTCTGCAAAGATGGTTTGTTCTCGATCTTTTCCACTCCTTCCGATCTTCCCAAATTCGATTACTTTTTTCAGAATTTGAACTTTAAATCCGGAAAGGAAAAAAAAAACGATACTCGTCAAATTCCGCGTCACGTAGAAGATTCCGCTTAGATCATTAAATCACGTTGAAGAACTGGGTATAGATTTGTTTAGCTAATGGGAGAAGTAATTTTCATGATTTAGATTTTCCCGAACATCGAGCTCGTGATACGAGGATGTTGATTTGTTTTCCTTGTGGAATTTGCAATAAAATGATAAATCAGGTTCTTCAAAACGATATCGATCAGCTGAACCCACCAGCTGAGCTTGAGAAGAGGAAGCACAAGCTCAAGCGCCTTGTTCAGTCTCCCAATTCCTTTTTCATGGTAACACTTCCATAGTTCTTCTGAACTATTCTCCTCGGTTATCCATCCCTTTTAATGTTATTGGGTACAGATTCAGATTGAATATGATTTCCTTTGACTGATTGTGTTGTTCTTGTTGTCACCCTTTGTGCGGGGGTTGCCATAGGATGTGAAGTGCCAAGGCTGCTTCAACATGTAAGTTGTGAACGATTTCATTCGTTCATTCTTCACGCTGTATAGAAATCTTTTCAGACTCTTGGTTTTGGAACAAGAATCCAGCAAGAGGAACTAATGGGTTTAGGCGTGTGTAAAATGGCAGAACGACGGTGTTCAGCCACTCTCAGACCGTGGTGGTGTGCGGGAACTGCCAGACAGTGCTCTGTCAGCCGACCGGAGGGAAGGCCAGGCTCACCGAGGGATGCTCTTTCCGGAGAAAGGGTGACTGAATTGAAAGTTTTTGCTGTTCCTTTCTAGTTCCTCATTTGGTGTTTCTTCGAAGTTATTGGACGCTGGTTGAACCCTTTTTGTCTGTTGTTGGATGACTTTTTAAGTATGAATTTTTAAGTTTAATTCAGATGGGTTTTGGAAAACCGCCACAGAAGAAATGATTGGCAACCATGTGTTTTTGACGGGCGTTGCTTTTCAGAAGGCGAATGATTTGTCGAACTAGGGAATATGCGTAGGCCTTAGTTCTTGTGATAACTCCACGAGGAACACAAACCGGTTTGAAGAACTGAACTGAACTGAATTTTAGTATAAAGACGGTATATATATAAATTTTCAAACAAAAAAAACCGAACTAAACAAAGACAGAAATCCGAAGTCTCTAATCAGGACATTTAAATTTCTCAACGAATATAACAAAAAAAAAATCAAGTAGAAAGGGGGAAAAATGAGGTATCGAATCTAAACATGGAGGGTGGAAGAAGAAGAAAGTAATTTATCGTGTTCAAGGGAGAAATCGGAGAGCGGATGGTGGTGGTGAAGGCTGCTGCTAGATTTGGAGATTTTGATCCATTCGTTCTCCACTCTGAAGAAAACCCACTGGAACCGTCTCAGCATCTCCAGTGCTGTGATCGTGAACACCGTTATGTAGTTATGTCTCAGATGCGCCGACAGCTTATACGTCCACGTACACCTCAACACCAGATTGCTCCCCATCACCCATATATAAACCTGCGCTTTCATTACAAACCAAAAAAAAAAAAAAAAAAAAATCCATAAGCATTTCCTCTCCCTTTTTTTATAGCTTGGCGTTGGCCGTAACTTCCTTTCCTTACCCATTGTCGTCCGTACAACATATTCGATAAGTAACTTGGTCGGCTGAACTTGAATATCTTTGTGAATCCGCTGTGGCATATAGCAGTTTGGAAGCTGTGATTATTATTATTTTTTAAATTATGAATGATGTACTGGTAAGAGCG